CTGCTCGTGGGCATCCGCATCATCCGGTCGCCTTGCGTGTGACGCCCCATCGCGTGCGAGGCTAACTTTTTTTGGGGGGCCATCGGCGTCGGCCATGGCTTTACAGTCACATCGCGATGTGTCCCCCCTTCCCTGCGCTCCTCCACCGCCTGGCCTGCGCTCCACGGGCCCTTCTTCTCGGTGGCTGCAGGAAGGGATTCGAGCGCTGAACTCGATCGGGGGTCGTGGTCAGACGACGCCAGCTCAGCCGACGACAGTTTTGCAGGCGCACGCCTTGTCTCGTCTTGCTGGCATGTATGCCAGGATGCCCGAGCCTCCGAGTGATTTGACCGTCCAGAGTGCCGTTAAGGCAACTTTGGGAACCGACCCTGGTTACGGTGAGGACCTGACCAGCGGGAGCCAAGCACTTTACCAACGGGGCAAGGTATCCTTGCCTCGCGTCGCTACTGGGGTCACACGTCTCGAGGATGTGTTGCCGGCCTCGGATCGCTCTCTGTTGGTAGGGGAATCCACGGGGCTTCTGATGGATGCCGCTTCTGCCGACAACTGTTTCGCAGGGAAGCTGGCCTTCGACCCCCGACTTGCGACGGGCAAGAAGGCTTACGGGCGATTTTTGAGTGATCTCCTGTCTCGTCAGATGCTGGAGGTCGGGGAGGCCACAAAGTTAGTCACCCCCTTTTTTGTCAGGAAAAAAGACGGTGCCTTGCGTCTCATATTCGACACGCGAGCAGCTAACACCTCGTTTTTGCCCCCTCTGTATACCTCTCTCGCTGCTGCTCAGGCGCTCAGCTCGATGGAAATCCCGATTGGGGCTTCTCTGCACTGTGCCCAAGGGGACGTCACTTGCTGTTTTTATCAGTTTCTACTGCCTGATGACTTGCGAAGCTTCTTCGGGCTTCCTCCAGTGCATTGGCCCGACCTTCCCGTCCGGGTAAGGCGCGCCCTTGGCCCGGCCGATCCCTCTGGGTTGGTCAGGTTCAGGCTCCGTGTTGTACCTATGGGATGGTCGTGGGCAGTGTACTTCGTCCAGTCTGCAATGAAGAACCTTCTGGTCCCCGCCGTACCCAGGGATCCCTTCCTTACCCAGCACAGACCCTTGGACCCCCTCTCTGAGCAAGGCGCCGTCAGTGCTATCTACGTTGATAACTTTGCATCTCTCTCGCTTTCAGCCGCACGCTCGAGTGACGGGCTTGCACGTATGCTGTCCGCCGTGAAAGGTGCTGGTCTCGACGCTGACGCGGAGCCCGACGGCGCCCCCTTTCTTGGGCATTGCTTGGATGAGTCTGGGTCGTCTTGGGTCCCTTCGGGGCGTAAGTTTTGGAGGATCTCCCTGGCTTTGAAGGCGGTCTTTCAGGGCAGGGTTCGTCGGACTGGACGTCAGATCGCTCGTCTTGTAGGGCATGTGTCGGCTGTATTTCAACTTCGCCCCGAGCTGCTCTCTATCTTTTCGGCAGCTTACACCTTTAGTACACGTTTTCGGGACCGACCTGCGTGGGTCTGGAGCTCAGTTAGGCACGAATGCTGGCTGGCATGGGCTCTCCTTCCCACGGCTGTTGCTCGGCTGGATACTCCCTGGAGCTCCGAGGTGACCTCAGTGGATGCTTCACTTCACGGGTTCGGCGTCACGGCGTGCCAGATCGAGTCTAGCAGTGTCGGCAAGGTCGGGCGAGTCAGCGAACGTCGTCGATGTCGTGGAGAGCTGCGAAAGTGCTCCAGGCCGCGGGACGTCCTGGAGGATTTGGAGGTGCCCTTCTCGTTCCTCGCTCGTGGGTCCGATCTCGACTTCCTGGAGACTGGTACCCTGACGGAGTTCCCCGAGGTTCCCGAGTGGCTTGCCAAGGACTCCCCCTGGCGTGTCATTGCTGCGAAGAGGTGGAGGAGGAAGGAGAAGATCCTGAACCTGGAGGCGGAGGCGGCCCTGTGGGCTGCACGGCGTATCAGTCGTGACAGACGTCTGGGAGATCACCGTCACCTCATCCTCAGCGACTCGATGGCCTGGGTATGTGCCGCCACTAAACGGAGGGGGAGCCCCTGGTTCCTCCTACGTCGGTGTCGCGAATTGCGTGCACTTGCCGTTGCCTCAGGATGTCGCTTTGTTTATCGATGGATCCCCTCAGAGTGGAACAGCGCTGATGCCCCGAGCCGAAGGTACGACCCTGTCAGCGAGCATCATGCCAAGTACTTCTATGTCAGCAACCCAGATGGCTCGGAGTGTACTCCGGACCACGACACGTCCACCTCGCCTTCGAAGTCTCTGGAGGCAGTCATCGGCGATGGAGTGCCGCACCCTCCGGGCCTCCGGCGCCTCGCGGCCGCGGTCCCGTTCGCCTACGGCTTGCCGGGGCTCTGGGAGGCCGCGGGCGGCGGTCAGGCTGGACACGGCGCATCTGCCGACGACGTCGCCTGCAAGCCCGTCTCGAGTGACCGCCCGCCTCTCGGACGTTCCCACCGCCAGCCTGCCCGTGGTTCTCCGCCACTTGGGGCCGGGGCCGGCAGGGAGTGCCGAGACGCGCTTCGCGCGCGGGGCGGGCCGCGCTCGGAGGCGGCAGGCGCGGCAGGCGATGCGCCAGGCGCCGTCGACCTTGATCGGGAGTGCGGGGCGGGCAGCCGCCCGCCTGGCCGAGCTGGGCTTCCGCGCGCCCGCGCTGGGAGCTGCTTCGGTCACGCCGGGGACGCAGGACACCTACCTGACACACCTGGAGATGCTGCTAAGGTGGCTGATGCTGAGGCAGGCTCCGACGCTCGACAAGGACGAGTGGGATGTTCTCCTCGCGAGCTACATCGAGCACCTGTACGACTCGGGGGCGACCGAGAACGCCGGGGGGGCGACCCTGGCTGCAGTGCGGTGGGCAGAGCCCGCCATTCCGCGGCCGCTCCGCCGAGGCCCCCCCCTGGCCTCGGCCGCGCTGGCCGGCTGGAGGCGGGCCGAGCCAGGCCGGACGAGGCTGCCGATGCCGCGCGAGCTGGCTGTCGCGATCGCCCTGGACCTGCGCGACTGCGGCTTGCCGAGCCTGGGGTTCTTCGCGATGCTGGTCTTCGAGACGCACATGCGGCCCAGCGAGGCCCTGTCTCTGCAGCGCTTCCAGCTCGCCCCACCATCCGGCCATGGGCTTCCCGGGACCAAGGGGCGGTGGGCTGTGCTGATCCGGGCCCCCGAGCTCGGCAGGCCTGGCAAGACAGGCGACTTCGACGGCAGCGTGAGCCTCGACCTTCCGCGACACCAGCTGCTGGTGGGAGGCCTCGAGGAGATCTTCCGCAGGCGGGGCGAGCGGGACCCAGTGTTTCTCTTCGACTACGTGACGCTGCTCAGGCACTGGCGAGCGACGTGCAAGCGGCTCGGCCTCGAGCACCTGCGCCTGACACCTTATTGTCTGCGGCATGGCGGGGCGTCAGAGGATCGGGCAACCAACTCTCGTCCCATGCTGGAGGTGATGAAGCGCGGAGGCTGGAAGACCTACTCGAGCCTGGCCAGGTGCGAGAAGCACGCGCGGCTCGGCCTGGTGGTGCAGCGTTCCGGAGCGGCTGTAGTCTCAGGTGCCCGACGTCGCGAACCAGAGTTGACCAAGCTCTTTCTCGCAGCATGGCAGCCGCCAAACGGGATGCCACGATCGGCCACTGTAAGGTCTTCCTCGACATCTTCTCAGGCACTGGTCCTGTCGGACGCTTTCTGAGAGCTCGAGGTCATGGAGTCATCTTTTTTGAGAAAAAGCTGGGACCTCGGCACGACGTCAGGCGCACCCAGGTCTTTGCTACAATTATAGGGTGGCTCCGCGCGGGACGGGCGTGGTGCTTTTGGCTGGCAACGCCCTGCGTGACCACCACGCGAGCTCGTCAGAACGGTGCCGCAGGTATGCCACCTCCGTTGCGGTCCAACGAGCATCTTCGTGGGCTGCCAGGACTCAGCGACAAGCTCAAGGAGCAGGTGCGCGAGGCCAACACCCTCATCGACCGTGCAGGCTTGCTGCTAAAAACCGCTGAGGGCTTGGGAGTGCCGTGCGGGGAGGAGAATCCAGCCACTTCTTTGCTGTGGCTCTTTCCTGTGCGCCAACGGCTGCTGACAAGGTGGTCGCATCCCAATGTTGACTTTTGCTCCTGCGGACTGCCTGTCCGCAAGCGCACTCGCTTACTTTTTCTTCACGCTGGAAGTCCTGATGCATCTCATTTTGTCTGCTCTGGTCGTCGTGGCATCTGCAAATTTTCTGGAAGGCCACATCTAGTAATCAGTGGAAAGTTGCGCGGTGTTTGGGTGTCCAAGCTAGCAGAGCCATATCCTCCTCCCATAGCTGAATTTATTGCACGATGTTTGGAGAATTCAGCTCAACGTTTAGCAGTGGCACAGCTCTCTAAAATATGCTGTGCCAGATCACCTGTGGCTTGTGGGCCGTGAGAATGGTTTGAAGTCCGGCGCTTTTCGCGCCAAGTGGTGATGTGTCTCGGCAAGCTGCCTCTTGAAAAACTGGCATCGTCTTCATGGAAATGCGTGCGTGCGAATGTATACTCCGCGGCCACGGTTTCTCAAGCCAATATTTGACCGCCCTTTTAACGCCAAGCCCGGGCCGTGCGAATTGTTTGTTCAACAGAAGTGGTTTGAAGTCCGGCGCTTTTCGCGCCAAGTGGTGATGTGTCTCGGCAAGCTGCCTCTTGAAAAACTGGCATCGTCTTCACGCCCATTCACCGATTACTGGTGTGCTGGACGCTGCCGCACTCCTGCGGCACCTTGCCCCGCCCTGTTTGCCCTGCGCCTCGTAGGCCCGCTGGTCTCGGCGCACGCCCCGCCCCGCTTGCCCCCCCAGGCCACGCCGCTCCCCTTTGTTGGCGTGGTCCTTTCTTTCCGCTCCGCGCCCACTGGCCAGCGCTTGCCGCGCCATAGCGCATCGCTGTGCCCTCCGCTGCTCCGCCTTCTCAGCTCCCGCTGCGCCTCGTAGGCCCCCTGGTCTCGGCGCTCCAGCCCATCCGTGGGTCCGCTCGCTCACCCACTTGCTAGCGCCCCCAGCTCCATT